TTTAATCTTTCTCCATCTATATTGATGCCCATATCTTGCCATTGAGTGTTCTTAATATTGACTCTAGAGCTGCCGTGAACAATTTTGGTGAAATATTGTCTCCTTGTCTAACTCCTCGACCTAAGCTGAATTTTTCTGTGTCTTCGTGTAGTCGTATACTCGATGTAGCGTTCTCGTAGATGTTTTTGATTAGTGTCGTGTACCTGTAATCTATTCGGCTTTGATTTAGGGCTTCCAGTACTGTTTCAAACTCTACAGAATCAAGCACAGACCTGCCTCATGCAAAATGTGTCTCACAGTGTAATATGCACATCATCTTCAATTTCCTTTTCTCCATAGAACTTTTGTACAAGTCAAAAACTTTGGCAGAGGATAACAATCTTTCCTGTAAACTTTCAGCAAAGTTTTATACCCTAACGATGTGGACTTTATGAGTTGTAAGTTTTTTGCAGCTTCTTGAAATTTTTACCCAATATAAATTGTCGGACGTCTTATTGCAAATCCAACAAAGACTTAGCAACAAACCAAAATAAAACAAAAGCACTTCTATGCTCCAGAAAATTCAGTTATGCTAAATAAAAATAAAGATTGAAGATTATGTGTTATTACCCGTAATATATACGGGTTTAAAGAAATGATATCAATGAAATAAGCATAGAATTGAAGGCTTTTCACAGAAAATAAAACTGACTGGAAATATAAGAACTTAATTAAATTTACACGACTCCCTAAAACAGAAAACTGAAAATTTGTAGACCAATAAACACATATGGTGCTACTTACGACATTTTTCAAAATATTGTACATAACAATATCATTTATACGTATTTATTTCCTATTAAAAATATAAACTATTGCAAAAATACAAAATTAATAAATGTTGAATGGGTTGCATATGTGAGTCCATTTTAATTTACATAAAAAGAAATAAATAATAGACAAACTCACAATCAATTTATTTTGCCGTGGACGACCGGTTTCGGATACTACAATTTGCTATGCATCGTCAAGTCTTCGGTAAGGTAACTAAATGCTGAACATACAAATAGCCAATATTAGGGCACTCTACAGTAAAAATATAAATTATGCCAATATTCTATGCGAATAGTTTTAGAGGTGTACAATTTTAATTTTAATTTACACCTTTAAAACTGTTCACATATAATATTGGCATAATTTATATATTGCTTATTAGACAGTACCCTAATATTGGCAACTTGTATATGCGGAGACCTGGTGATGCATAGCACATTGTAATATGCGAAACCGATCGTCCGAGGTAGAATAAATTAATTGTAAGTCTGTTATTTATTTCTTTTTACCCAAACACAAATAATAATTAAACTGGGAGTCAGTGACTAAATAAAGTTCTAACTGTTTTAATGTTAATTGTAAGATTTGGAACCTTACTATTAAGAATCCTAAAACTTTTATATAACGAGACAAGCAAAGCATTGTGGGTGATACTGTAGGGAGTGCGATAGTGTACAATGATTGTCATTGTTGCGTGCAGGTGCGAGTGATAGCCCAAAACTGTGGGGTGCGATGGGTTCAGATATGGGCTCAATGTCTCCGCAGCCAGTCAACTCGAGGGTAAGCCATATACACACACCTGTCCACTTACGCTTTTCTTGACTGTTCAATTATTTATATTTGCTTAATTTGCTTACTACATCACTAATAGCTAAATGTCTGCAATTGCATGCTAATATAGTATTTTCTCGCACGTTGATTTGTATATTAGATAAAACTACCCCGTAAGTGTAAACCTTTCATGATTATCGTAGTATCTAAATTTTGTTGATTTGATTGCTGCAAGTAATTTTAATTAGGATTGTTCAGCTTCATTTAATGAAAAAAAGTTGTCAAAAAATTCAAGTTATCCTGATATCTCGGAGAGTAATATTTTTTAAACATTGTCTGAATTTATTACTCTGATAGTTAGCCCTAAAAATTTTTAATTATAAGCATGTATAACCTTGTATATTGCGAACTTTTTTGCATGTAGTTAACATATTTGATTGAAAATACAGCATTGTAACTTTTTCCATGTTTAATATTTATAAAAAGTCTACAGATACTACAGATACAGTCTTTAGATGTACTATAATTTCCGAAGAACTTTTGCTTCATAAATTTGCCGACTGCTTCATAAAAAGCAGTAAATCGTGATGTATCTAAACGTGATTAAACATTTCATGTATTTTCTCCTCAACCATATCACATTTTAATGTTATTATTAAGATTACAGTTAATATTTTTTTACATACACTGTGCATGTTGTAGAGTGTGTTTGTGTTTTGAGTATTGCCTTGTTGCCAAGTAAAGTCTCCTTCATTGTCTTAACAAAGAGTCGTCTACAAAATTAAAGATTTTTTTAAATAAAAATTCCCACCCCGCCAGGATTCGTATTCACAACCACAGAGTTTTTACGCTCAGTAAGTTGGCGCTCTTGCTACTGCGCCACCAAGGCGTTCTGTTAATATGTTAACTGGCTAATAGTCGAGAAAAGAAATTAAAATGTTACGATTGTCAGACGAGCTGAATGCCTCAAACTTTTTGTCCGTCGATAGTTTCCTCATCCTTTTCAGTTATCTTCCAATCAGTCATAAAAATATAATGCTCTTCATACTAGTTATGATCATTGGCAAACCAACAAATACGTTTGACAACGTGTCAAAGAAAAATGCTTTAGTTTCAGATTTTTTGACCATAAAATATTTGTACGTCACAGTAAGTACTTCACGAAGATACAGCTTACTGTAATCTAGTAGTGAATATTTATATACTCTGGTCATGTGACTTAAATATTGGTTTTAAATATCGGTTTAGGGTAGCTCTTACTCCACTTAGAATTATTTAATGCTTTGTGGTGCGTGGTATTATTAAGAAAATATATTTTATAGCATATTTTAATATTTTTCATGCATTGGTAAATCCTGAATAATAGTATGTATTTGGGAGTGGCTTTTAATTGCTTGACATCGATAATATATGAAAAGGAAGGAAATTATATGTGGTATATATTTAAAATAGTTCTTTTCTACATTTTCTATTAACATTATATTGTTCTAGATGCTTATTTTTGGTTCAAAATTTAAGAATACAAATTAATTATTTATTAGACCATAACTTCTTTATATTGCTGTACGAAAATCCTTATGACATTTCCATAGTAGATTGCTTCATTATTGAATTAACATTAAATTATTTCTGATCAGAAAAACATTCTGATTTTAGACAATCAAGTAATGCAAACAAATTCATTATCAACAAAAATATATAAATGCCTGTTTAAAAGTTTAAATTAAAGAATTTCTAACCTTACTTTACTGATACATGCATTTTGTTGTTATTTATATAAAAGAACAGGCTTTATTATTTACCTTGTAAAATTGTTGTAGTAACTATTAGGATAGGCAGTCTACTATATGATATGACACACGGTTCCTAGACTTACTACGGTTGCCTCTTCCGCCTAACCAATGAACATTAAGCCGGATTGTACTCCTGTGACGTAATTTGAATCTTAACATTCAGCCCTGTGATTGGATGGATGTATCAAAACAAAAATGTTTTATAATTAAAGTAGGTTGATTTCATGTAATCAAATGAACTATTTTACAATAAAGCCAAGTTAAAGTTATTTATTTATGTTAATATACAATAAAGTACTTACATATGTCAAAAAATAGTATAAAATAAAAATTAACATATTAAAAACATAAGGTATAATAATGCATATATACGTTAAGGCAAACATTACACAGAATATTATATTCTGGGTTCCCAGGTATACACAAAATAGGATTCATCATCATCAATACACAAGCCAGTTCGAAACATTAAAGTTAAAAATTAGGAATTCATCACTTGAAAACTGCTTCCCCTTCAACCAATGGACGCTTTGCTTCAGCACAATACTCAAAGATATCATTAAGGTTAATTTCCATTATTAAATGATACAAATAACTCGTCTTAAACCAAACTAAACATGGAAAAGCAATGGTAAATATTCGAATGTCATGTTTGTTTTTGTTTATACCATTTATATCGGCCATGACACTGCAATCGACCTGCCCTCTACATTCAGTTTCAATCGCGAATAAATGGGTTTTGTATTCTTGTGTACTCCTGTGACGTAACTCAAGCATCCCCACCCCAGTCGGAAGAGGCAACCGCAGTAAGTCTACGAACCGTGGATATGACATATTAGAAATTGACAGGGGAAATTTGACATATACGTGACTTCAAGGAAACATTTTAGACACAAAATAAATAACAATCAGGATGTCCACTCTCGCATGCCGCCTTTGAAGTGTGTCAGCACACGATCACCATATTTTAAACAACGACAGAACCATAACTTAAATTTTTTAAAGATTAATAACTTTAAATTTGAAATAATTTAATCTATTCTTCAAATAAAAGTACGACATAAAATATTGCATATTTTGTCTATGGTTGCCGTAAATCAATTAAACCGGGTTAATTTTTCTATGCTCACCAGATAAAATTTCACTGAACACTGGCACTGAAGCACTGGTTCCGTTTAAAACATGGCTGATTCCGTCTGCGCAAACGAGATGCGCGTACTTAACTTGACAAGCGGAGGGGGCATTCTGATTGTTATTTATTCTGTGCTTTAGAGGTAGTGTTTGAAATGAAAGACTTTGTGGATTTAGAAGAGAAATAAACGTAATAAAAATGCTTATTCACTAAACGACACTGCTATAGAATCAAATTATTTTATATATTACTGATTTTAACTTATATGCTACATATGTTCTGTAAAAACAGTAGGTGTTGAGGAATATTATCGTTAATAAAGATTTAGGTTTTCAAAAATCTAGAAAAAAGTTTTCAATACATACGACTGTTCAGTGTCTTCCTTTTCATATATTGTGTAACATATATATTTTTTTTCATTTTATACTAACTATATGCATATATTTTCTATTTTCTGTAATTATAACAAATAAAATATTTTGTATTTTCAGAATACTATGGAGGAGGGCCGGCAAGGTGATCAAAAGTCTTCACTTTTACAGAAACTTCTTTCGGAGTGACCACTTGTAAATATTAGAGATATACACTACTAGGTACCTCATTGGTTATCGTACCACAGGCTGTAATCCAGACAGGTTAGCTGTATCAAAAGTGCATTACTACGTTGCTTATTCGTTACATATATATAAAAAAATATATATTTAAGATAGGGTAGTGCGGAGCAACAGAACGGAAGGCGCAAGGGTGAGCGTGCAATTGTAAATATTACATAAAAGATCAATTTTGTGGGACAATTGTTTATATTATACATATATAATGATAAGTATAGTTTATTACTGGACTTGTTTGAAAACTTGTACCTCAGTCGGATCGCTTAGTTAGTTGTAGGATTGTCATACTGGTGGCAACTAGTCATTTTCAATTAGATTGGCATTCGAAAATAATCTCATACTCTCACTGACATACGTTTTAGTTTGTTAATATTAAAAGTAGACTTTTTTAAAATTATTTTAGTGATTATATTCTATTGGATAGTGATTCATCATTTTGCAAATCGAATAGCAAATTCTTATTAACATAATCTCCCTTTAATCAAACTAATTTTTTACTGATCTTAGCAATGTAGTTGGATTAAAATTTTGAGAAGCATGTGATTTGCATTCAAGCGAACAATTTTTTGGATGTATTCACAGGAAACGTCCATCCAATCAAACATGTTCAATCATTGCTCTGTCATAAAATAAAATATATATCTGAAATTTAAGGAAGTCGCTAGAAGAGAAAGTCTTAAAACTTAGAGGCTTAAATGAGAGTTAGAATGTTCCATTGTAGTATATTAAAGTATTACGAGCAAAATTGCACATTGGAGACCAAAAGCGGACAAACGTAGCAGAGGAAGACCACCTACACGTTGGACTGACGACATCAGACATATCACCAAAAATTGTCAACAAAGAGCACAAAATCTCAAAGAATGGATAATGGTTTAAGGGCAGCGGATATTGAGGTCTCTAAAATAAACGCGATTACTTAAATAGTAAAGGAGAATCGCAGTTAATACCGCAAAAATCGGGAGACACATAACAAAGAGAAGAAAAGTTATTAAATGGATGGAAAAGCAAAAAGTAACAGATACAAATTAATGAGTTGTGCTTGCTTACCTTCAGAAACAGTACAAGCCGTCGACTAGGTGGGCTATCCATTCGAAATTGCAATGTTCATGCATTCATGAAGGTAATTAGCAAGAATGACGTGGCCAAGAAGTATGTATTCAAGGAACACGATTTGCGAAGTTTTTCGATTTACGATTTTTGCTTACATGACATCAAGGAAGAAGGAAGTATATTGATTATTACTTATTACTATTTGACCATTTAAGACTGTGATGGCTCGACGTTTTACAGTTGCTGATAGCTATGCAATTAATTATGTGCGTTTGGTGAAGAAGTATTTATTATTGAGCTCCAAAAATGTAAGTACAGATCGAGTTTTCTTACGGTATGATAATAATCAAGTAGTTGGTATTAATACATTTGGATCATATCGCTTGCAAATTGCACGTTGTCTAAAATTGGACGATCCTGAGAAATACTCGGGACATATGTTTCGACATATGTGGCATGACAATAGATCAAATCCAACGACAAATAGGATGGAAATCGGCAACTGTGGCGACTGGTTACGTTGAAGAGATTATTACCAATAAGAAGAATGTTCCAAACATTATTGGGAGTGGCATTGATTAAAGTACAACCCAATTGGCTTCCGAGAATGTCGGTAGTATTAATTTGAACAGCATTTCCTCTGATTTAAAAAACGGAAGTGTAAATACCAACTCAAATATTTTGAAACATTTGTTAGTAATATTTTATTTATGAAGATACAAGTTTTGTACTCCTGTCAGGTCAGATCAATATTTAAAACTGTTGATGTTGCCACGGTAACTTTAAAACACGTGCGTTGTTAAAAGTTAAATTTAAACACATTGTGGCGTATTTTAAATTAGCAAAATGAGGTACCAATAAAAAAATATGTAATTTTCACTCCAAATATGTATGTTTGGGTGTTCAAATGAAGTATCAGGTGTAGTTATTTAAGTCGGTTATTGTAGCTGAAAAAATTTATGAAAAATTCGGTAAATATGCATATAGAAAAAATATATTGAAATTACCGGACACTCCCAACCTACGATAGGATTAGAAGTGATCGTTTCATATACATTTATTGGTTAGCGTTATATGCTATTGCAAAATTTTATTGCTTCTAAAAGGGGTGATTTTAATATCTGCTAGAAGACATAACTTGTCGTTAACACTGAGAAGAACCTCTAGATTCATGAAAACTAAGGAAAAGTAGGATACAGGAAAATATAGTTACAAATACATTTGAATGGGACTCGAAATTTCAATGGGGTGTGGAACCTTCAAGAATAATGTCGAACATTTATACGAGATACATTAAAAACTAATTTGTTTTTAATTTTTCTGCTTTTACATTCTTCGATGTTAGTAAAACTAGATTTGATACTACCCAAAGATTAAAAAGACGGTTAAAATATTTATACGAAATTTGGTATACATTTATAATTCTTAACAATGAATTCGAATGCCTACTATTGAAATAACTGGTTGGACCGTGAGAATTTTACTTTTTAAGAATTAATTAGGTACTGTTAAATTGTTAATGTTAATTTTAATTCTATGTTTCTCTTTAATTAGTTTGTTAATACTTCAATAAGAAACATTACAAAAACATAGTGAGACTAATCTATATGGAGAGATTTGTAGAAAGGTACAGAACTTGCGAGTATATATTTTAACATATTTTAAATTTGCAGCAAGCATATCATTTTTTAATCTAGCTAGTGCCAAATAAATTCAATAGTTTTGTTCTGCCCTTTTAAAATCATTTTATAATTTTTTTTATTACAAAACAGTAGTTCAAATGTATTTTCTTTTTCATTTTATAAAAGCCATATACTATGTTAGTTTAGGTATTGTGTTATGCTAACTGTGAATGATACAAACATTTTTAGGATTTTTTAAATGTACATAAACCAATTTTTTTATTGACTTTAATCAAATTAAAACACTCAGTTGTCCGAAAAAGGTTTAGAAGGTCTAGTAATTTTTATTTATTCATAATAAGTATATTACATTGGACTTTTCATATATTTAACATTAGTCAATAGAAGTAGAGATCTGTATCTCATAATTAATTGATTATAAGAAACGGTGTGTGACATTGGACTATATTGATATGGAAGGCATGAGCCAGCAAGTAGTATACGAATATAAATATTTTCAATATCTGGCTTTGAATGTTTATTACAAATAACTGCCATAATACTGTTTTTTTTGCATATATTGGTTTTTAAAGATGTTACATAAACTAGACCTTTTAAACTGTTAAATACCATTTACATATTTTTAATAATACCATTAAAATGACTTTTTTTAGATTTTTAAAATTACATATTGTTTTTTGTATTCAGTTCTGCTGTTTCCTCCCCATACTCCTACAATTAAATTGCGCAAGCTTACTTTACATAATAAATATATGTATGTATATTTTACACATTTTTATATAACTCCAGTTTGTGTATACTAGATTATTAATTACTGTGGCTTCATTTTTGATATATTCATAGCAAAAGTACCTAAAGCTTTCTTAATCCCACTTTTCCCTGCACCAGAATTGTGACTTTCAATTAAATTTTTTACTTATCTTTACAAAACATTAGTTTTTTCGGCACCACTGCTCTATCGTTTTTCGATTCAACCTTATTCTATTGGTTTATTAGTTTCTTAAGCAACTTCTTTCAAATTTTGATTTTTATATGGATTGCTTTTACATACTACACTTCCAGTGTAGAACATGGCCAGAGACATCAAACAGAGTGTCATGTCTACATAACAAGAAGAAGAAGACAGCAAGACGATATAAAGCATAGTCAGTCAAAAATTCTCTATTTAAATAAACAAATGTTTATAACTAAACAGTTGTAAAATAAACTGTAATTACCGTACGTTTCGCCGCAGTCATCAATGATGATTACAAACACTAAATTAAACCATATAATATGTGCAACAAAAAGTATGTTACCAGGTTTTTCCATTAATCTTCCAAGTAAAATGGAGCTCATAAACTAATTATTTAGTTCAACGTGGATGTGATTGCAGTACAGAAACATCAGAATTTGATATCAATCCGAAGGTACATTACCTTCTGAATTTGACTTATTCAAAAGGTGAAGGTAAAGAATAGAAACATCCAGATTTCCAGTAAAAATTGACATACGAGGTTTCCATTCTTCACTATAGATATGACTTATTTGCCTACAAAATCGAGGCCAATTAAGTCAACTGTCAAATTGGTTGACACAAAGCGCTAATTAATGAAACATTGATTGGAATGGAAATCGAAACGTCAAAACAAGTGTAAAGGTAGGCCACAGCTTCTGGAGTCAAAGATTCAGATCCTGATCGAAATATTCCATGCTTCTAAGGCAAGGTGACCGCGCGACGTTTGGCGACTGTTACCGATTGTTCTCGAGTATCCGTTTCTTGTATAACAAGCTGCGGTGACAGAGCATTCATTCATTCTTTATTAAATTATGACAAGTAGAAGTTGAAGAATTAAAATAGCAATATTTAAAACACGAAATGGGTACGACAAATATCAGGCTTACGGTTGGTATTCAGTAATCACGCAACGTTTTACAAAACAATTATAAAGTGTTCAGAAATCTACATATTTTGGTATGAAGGCTACAGTCTAGTTGTAGTAGTTGGTTGTCGATCGCTTGTCTTTAAAATACTGTGATAGATCGCAGACACTGCAAGTCTGAGCACTCTTGCTCTTTATGCTTACAGTGGTTGTAAACATATTCATATTTTTATTATCTTAATTATTGAGATGATGTAATCTCCTCGTGTTTTTAATTGGATCGTAATAAACATTTAAAGAAATCTAGATCCTTTTCTTTTGCTCTGTCCATCTGTCTGCCTGCCTGTTAGTAATTTACAGAAACTAACAATTGTGATATCTGCTTTTAGTGTTCTGTAACAGGTCTCAAATTTTTCTAGGTATTTTTATTATTAATTGTCACGCCTTACGTTGGACTTAAGTATGTTAACAATATTTAGAATATAAGTTAAATAAAGAAACAGAATGTAATAAAAAAACTTGATAACTTCTAATTTCCTTGTATGTTAAATTTTTTGATGAAAGAAAATGACCAATGCTGGATCTATATCTCCTATAACCTCTTCCATGTTTCCTGTTTTTGTGCTGCTTGCATACACTTTTTGCTGATACGTTTTATTTCTTTGGACTATCTTGTTGTTTGTCAGTTTCTGCTTCGGAAAGACCTCCACTCGATGATTTGTTTTGTCCATTGGTCATCTAATAACGTTACAACGTGTTCGACCCAGTTTCAGTTCTCAGCATATATTGTTCCATCGGAACATGAGTTACACGTCTTACGTATTACTTTCTTTATTAACGTTAGAATGTCTGCGCTATATGTATGCATAGGTAAGTTCGCACTAATCAAAAAATTTTCTTTTCTAGTACGCAAATTCTTAATTTTGATTATACTTGTGTATACTTGTAGATCGATTATCTATGCGATATTCTGTTATGTTAGCATTTTTTTTCTGATATGTTGTGTCAATATCTTTCATAATCTTCAGCTATTAATACCGGAGGTTGTTGGTACTACATCCTGTCATGCATTCAGCCAGTTCCCCTTATTTAGAAGGCTAGCTTAGTTTATGAAGTTAAGGTTTTTTAATAGTTAGGCAATTGTTAAAAGGCCTCACCAGCACTTCGAGAATTTTGAGTCCATATAAGTTGAGTTTTGGATTACTATTTTATCTTCGCCAGGAGGTTTTTCATTTGTTAGAAGATTGATCTTAAATTTCATTTGGTGTTATTTCGGGTTTATCTTCGGACCGTTGCTTTATGATTTTTGGAAAGGTTTGGTACTGGGAAAGAAATATCTTCAAAAAATAATAAAAGGACAAATATATAAAAAAAGAAAATAGATATAAAAAGAAAATATTTGTTGCATTAAAGACGATGTAAGATTTATGACGTCTTTAATTTTCTACAAATTGAATATGTCAAAAATATGTTCATGGATTATAACAGCAGATATTTTTTGTAATGGTATTATTAAAAAGTAAATGTTAACAGTTTTAGATATTATTTAAATAATTTATATTGATGTACAAGGTGACACTCAACATACAATTTTATCTTCTTATTCGAAGAGTCAAAAATAATTTTTAGTCAAAATAAACTTAATATTCAATGAAAGTTTGACCAAGGTAAGATGGAAGAAATAGCTCGGATGATTTTATTTTGACCTTTTAAAGAAACAACTTATTTTTGATCTTCATTCAATAACAATTTTAACTCTATACCACATTTTTGTTGTGAAAGTACATTAAATTTTCTGGAATCTGAATATTTTAGAATATTCGACTGAGGTATAGCAACAAAAATTGTTATTTTAAAAATATGTTTATATGTTTAGTGTTGTCTTCCTTTTAGTGAGTGTTCAAGCTACGCATTACCAAAAAAGTATAAATTAGTAACTGTTAATATTTTATACATAATTTAAAGTATGTTATTTGGAAAGCCCGTTTTGTTGGACATTGTGATAGGCGTTGGCCATGTTACTGTTGCTAGGATTCACTCCTAGGCCCTGTATATGTAGACATAGAATTCATACTTGATTATATTGTCAATTACACCCTAGCCACAGAAAAATTGAAAAAAAAATGAACAAATTGACAGACAAAACATTATTTAATTACACAGATATTTTTTGTACATTATTGGAGTTTTGAAATATATCTATATTATAAATAAAAATATAATTTCTGATTTTTAGTTTTATTTTATATTTAACTGTTGCAATTTTCATATCACAATGATTATCGTTCTCAAGCAAATTAAGCTGTTGACATTCAACACTAAATGATGAGCACACTACACTTTGACACGAAGTAATTGAAATGATATCGACCCACGAATATTTACCAGCAACAAATGCAAGTAGCATTCGTCACGTCCACTGAGAGAAATACAACCGAAAATCTTATTTACTAGCTTCTTAAGCAGCCTAAAAATTTCGTTATTGCTCGACAGTTTTGTTTATATTAGTAGTTTATAAGAATATGAAACGAATTTATCTGTAAGCAGTAGCGGCGGCGTAAGGAAAATATTTGTTGTCTAAATTATTTTAACCGATTAATAAATAAATCGTCTGTAAGAAAAATTTCAACATCCCCTATATCGGAAACGAAGCATTCGCGGACATATGTTTATAAAACAACCTGCTTATTAACTGCAAATTATTTTTTCATGCAAAACTACCCTTTAAAGTTTGCCACACTTATTAAGGGAATGAATAAAAAAAACAGAATGTTAAGAAAATATAGTTAGGTTTTAATTTCAGTATTTTATTAATTTAATAAATAATTTTTTACTTTTATAGTTACAATTAATAATATATAAGATATGGTTGAGAAACCGGCAACGTGGTTGGCCGCTTTCTAAAAGGACAAACAGTTTAAAATAATTGTTTAGGATGCTACACTATGGACCATGGAAGGAGACACAATGATGCTGTGAACATACACGCTCATTCAGTTAGTTTTATTGCTGAAATTCTAGTTTAATGCTCATGACACGTCCCGGGAAATGTCTCCACAAGCTGAAGTTAAGTAGTTTCGGAAAACCTACTTTCAATGTTTGCAAGCTTAATTTCTATTCAGTTATCTGTATCCTGTAAGATCGTACTACATTTTCTCACATTTAGACACTCCAGTCTATTTATTTTTTTTGTTTTGTGTTTTGGCTTGGACAATTGTCATTCAGCCAGTCTCAATCAAGATAAGTTTATTAATGTAGTGTGTGTGTGTGTGTAGAGTAATTGTCTTGATACTTAGCAAAGTCGACGTCATTGTCTTTGCTAAGAGACGCTAATTGTATCCGAACGTCTGCGGTCCCTCCGGTGTGTACCGATCACACAAGGATAGAAATTATTTTCATTTATTAATTTTTTTTTAATAAACGAAAATTTCCACCCAGGTGGGATTCGAACTCACGACCTTTAGATTTAAAGGCAGGCGCTCTTACCACTGAGCCACAGAGGGGGTTTTCCTCCAGTCTATTTAGAGTTCTAGACCATTACGTTTTGTTCGTACATAATGTACCTTTGTTTTACATAGAGAGGTAATTTGCCCTATTACATTCCCTCGTCACTCCGCTACAATTCCCTACATAGGCAACCAACCTCATCATAGATCTTCTAATGGCGCTACAACCCTTTGTGGGTCTTGGCCTGCAACAACTTTCTTCCATTCTGCCCTGTATGATACTTTCTTTCGCCACTGCCTGATCTTTTAAGACCTTCCTATACATCGTCTATCCACCTTTTACGGGACCTTCTTTTTGTCCCATTTGGGATCCCCTTGAGGTTTCTAACTCTGGATTACTTTTACAGCTCGATTATCTGTGATCTGCGTTGATTCATCCAGCTCATAGTTAATTTTTATTCTCCACGAACTATCGCTACAATGGAAATATTTTGGTCCACGTTTCACATCCATATGTGATCACCTCACCATACAACCGGAATTTTCGATTTCTATTGTTTATTCCATCCTTATAATAACATGTAACATATAACTTATAGGTCTCAGTGTATCTTACTGAAATAATAACACAACAAATTCAGCCGGGTATATGACGGAATTGCGACTTGTAAGTTTGTATCTTATTATCATCTTATCAATAAAACTAGATTTTGTTATTAATAATATAAATTTATTAAATAAATAACTTAATAAATAAGTACACCTTATAAACAATAATTTAATTCATTTTTATATAATTTAAAACAATATTAAAATTTATACCTAAATTTGGTTCTAAACAATACCCACAGTGGGTGTTTATTATTTGAGCGTTAACCAAAAATTGGCTGTTGACTGGTATCAACCGTTGGACTCACGTCCTTTTTTCGAACGGGGATCTGTATGTTCCTTTAAATGAAATCTTAACATCGATATCGTGTCACCAGATGTTTAAAGTTTAATATGTGTATTATGTTATCTAAATTTTATTATATGTAGATATGTGGCTAGTTTTAACTAACTACTTTTAAAATGTAAACATTTCCCACATGTTCACCTTGACAGTCAAAATTTTACCTCTTTGTATCAATCATTTTAGCATGGAAATACTTTTAGGTTTCACTGATGATGTTTATTTTAGAAGTGTTTACTTCACTGTAAGACATTTAAAAGAGGTATGCATGTGTCGAGATAATGTATATGACATATAGAGGTCCTATAATTTCTATCGCAGCTGGCAGAATAAGGTCATTACCAATGGTACGAGACTTTTACATCTGGCTATTTTAATGAAAATTTGTAAGAGGCAAGTAAAACTTTTTCATTCACAAAGTTTTTTTGAAGAATAATGTTCGTTATTCATATGTCTTTAATTAAAATTCAAATAATTCTCACGGCTTGTTAACGTACTCACTATAAAGTGTTTCCTAATAGCATCTGAGTTTAATAGATTTCATCTTGTCTGCTTATACATTTTGTTTTATTTTCGACAAAATGGTCGACTGTGCACTTGTTGATGCTTTACTATTGTCTAATACTCGCTTATGTCCAGTTAAAAATCCTTCAAATTTCATTAGTTGTTGTCTCCCTATGATTTAAAACAATCAGATACCTAGGTTCTAAAGTACTTTCTTGTGGCATGTCTAATTTAAATATTATATTTATATGGGATTAAGCTACAATTATTATTTGAAATGAAAATCACATTTTTATCTAACTAAAGTTTGACGTTTCGACTTCCACTCCGCAAATCGTTCTGTTTTGTTTGTGTAAACTGTATCGTAATTGTGATCGTGTAACGTAGATTTGTATTTTGTGTATTGTGTGTTGCATATGTTTTGTGTATACGATTGTAGGTGGTGTTTTTCTACCTCCTGTTACTCCTTTATTGTTTGTACAGTATACTCCCTCTATACGGTTATTACGAAGTTTCGCTTACAACGAGGTATATTAGATACCCCGTGAAGTTTCTATTGAACTATAACCCTCTATAGCGAGGCAAATTTGGTTATAACAAGAGAAAATAAGATCGAAAAACGTGTTTTTTAAATACGTGGCTATAAATAAATACCCTTTTTAACTGCCGCCCGCAATAGACTTTACAATTTATGTTTCACAAGTGTCAGTGTAGGGGGTTGACCATTCGCACTTAATAATAAGGTTCTAATAGACAAGATGTGGAAAGTGCTTTAAAGTTGTAAGAAACTTTTTCCAAAGACAAAACGCAAATGAAGAAGCATACAACTGTTTCCCATCTTTAGAAAATATGATAGAATACTGGACAATTTAAAGCAGTCAAAAATGACAAGTTAATGTTTTAGAAAACTGCATATGCATGCACAGTATTATTGTTGTTTGATATAACGAGATCAAAATAGTCAGAATTTGATATTCCTAATGTAAAAACACCACCCTCAGATTTTTTTCAGATATTTACATGCTACTGCCTACAAGATCGAGGCCAAGTATGTTTATGTTAAAATGACATAACCTAATAACAAATATTTTTAAAAAAAAAAAGAAAAAGAGGTTAATCTTTGTAAGTGGGTATATTTATTTAAAAAACCCTTAAAAGGGCCACATCAATAGAACAAACGTTTTCGGACTAAACAGTCCATCATCAGGTTATTAAAATCGAAAATGCTAGGTCATAATGCCTGAGCCACCAAAATATTAGGGTAAAAACCCTTTAAATTACATTTAGTTATGAAATTATTTACATTGTGTTATAAAATAACTGTGATGTTCTATATTAAATTAAATTTGACCAAAGGTAACACATGGCTCAAATGGGTTCCAGAGCCGGGCGAGAGGCAACCTCTGCGCTCGGAGAACAACGTGGAACAACGTGGAATTCAGTTCCACGTTGTTCTCCGAGCGCAGAGGTTGCCTCTCGCCCGGCTCTGGAACCCATTTGAGCCATGTGTTACCTTTGGTCAAATTTAATTTAATATAGAACATCACAGTTATTTTATAACACAATGTAAATAATTTCATAACTAAATGTAATTTAAAGGGTTTTTACCCTAATATTTTGGTGGCTCAGGCATTATGACCTAGCATTTTCGATTTTAATAACCTGATGATGGACTGTTTAGTCCGAAAACGTTTGTTCTATTGATGTGGCCCTTTTAAGGGTTTTTTAAATAAATATACCCACTTACAAAGATTAACCTCTTTTTGTTATACGTGGTATACAGCCAGCTACAGGAATTTTTCCTTGTAAATATTTTTAATTTTTTTGGTTGAGTTTACCGAAAGTACAAGCTGATTATAGCCGCAAATGTTAAACATGGAACAAAAAATTTCGTTTTAGCAGTGTTGGCATGTTTTGATAATGTAGATGCTGAACATCCCAACACTGCCAAACCGAAATATTTTATTTCATGATTGACATTGCCGGCTATATTCAGCTTGTACTTTCGGTAAACTCAACCACTTTTTTAAAAACAATTTCGGAATGGAAGTCGAAAATTATTTACTTAAAAATGTGATTTTCATTAAAACCCATAATTGTGGCTTAGTCCCATATATATAATATTTAGATCAGATACATGTAATTTTTTTCACCTATTTCTTTTTTTCTAGACTACTCTTCTTGAAATTTCTTCTAGTATTGAATTTGAGTGACGTAACAATAAAAAATAACTTATTTTTTGATTTAAAAGAAAGTATTCATATAGAGTTTTCAGAATTTCCTCCTCATGCGCACCAGTTAACGTGGAATACGCTCTTCTAGATAAACTGCTTTTTTGCATTTTTGACATCACTTTATAAATGAAATCGTTTTTCTTATCATTCGACTTCGGCATATGCTTCGCAGGCCATGACAAATTGTTGTATCGAACTCAAATTATTAGTTTGAATAAGTAATTTTTGTAACGCGGGTACTACTTTGAAAGGATTTTGCTCTAGAACAGAAGTTAAAGAATTGGATAGTTCACCAATTATCTTTTTGCCCTCTGTTACTGCTTCTGATTCGCTAGTTATTAAGGCACTTGCGTCTCTCATTTCGACACCTGAATCTTCCATTTCCTCTTGTTCATCTGGTACAATTTCTAGCTTTATTACTTCTTTGCCATCGACTATTATCATTTGCTCTATTACTTCTGATTCTGGCATTAAAGCTTCCTCGTCGAATTCATTCATTCTTCCTTTTTCTTCCATTTCTTGTGAATTTAATTTTAAATCTTCCATTAAAATATGTTCTTCTTGTGATTTTCCTATGGCGATTTTATAAAATAACTCTTTAAGTCCAGCGTCTTCGATCTTTTCTTGAATTGGGATAGACATGGTCAGAAGCCAGCCAATATGAAAGCAAATATAGCCAGTGGTATTTTTTAAACAAGTACAAGCCAAAATTTCCTTATTAACGGCATAATTTGTGGAAAGAGCCTTCAAGCTGGGCACGAAATACAAATAACCATTATTTTTTTCTATATCTTTTAAGTCAATCAAAATTGGAATATTTTTTGACATATTCCGTATCAACCGATTATTTGCCGCATCAAGTAATCTTTCGGTATAATAATCAGTAAATTTCGTTAACAAGAAATCGACTAACTGTATAACGTTAAACGAACGCATTCTACGAAAAACTGACCCTTTTAATAAGCAAAGACTTGTTTCAGAATTATCTACTGAAATTAAATCTTTATATTCAGTATGAAGCAAAGATTCCTGAGATAACGTTTCATTTAATAAACATGAATTTGCTTCGGAATCATCTAGTGCAAGGACATCTTGATATTTTTTATGTAGGTAACGATCTCTGTATCCAACAGTCCACATATCTCTCTTTTCCCAATAAGCCTGCAAAATCTTTAAATAATCTGTATAATTTAACGCTAAACTCAGTGCTGAATTATACATTGAATCACATTCTTCTTGCGTAGGGGCAGTCATAATCTGCCTAAATTTCTTAAAAAACGTTAAGCTTTCGTTCCTAGCTATACCGTTCCTAGAACATAATAAGTACCTCCAAAGCGAATGCAAGATATGAAAACCACAAAACAAAACATTCGAATCCGGCCACATGGTAGTTAAAGCAATTTGTTCTGCTTCACAGTCGTCCACAACAAATAGTCCAGGACCTTCTTCTTTACCATAAAACATCGCAACTCCGACTAAACTTTTTAACATCTGCAAACCTGTAATGACTAGTTGAGGGTCTTCTACACTGGTAAAAATGATACCGAGTGGTAAAGTGCCACATTCGCTGTGAGTTAACATAAAAAACGCTTTGCTACCATCTTGATCTGCGGGATTAATAGCTGCCATGAAAACTACTTCAGAAGATGCTTTTATGTGGGCATGGATCCTTTTAAATAGCGGCGGACATAATCTGAAAATTAAAAAATACTTATTAATCTAATTGAAGTGTCTGATCTACGACAACTACTCGAAAAGGTATGATAATCAATTTTCTCTGTACATGTCTGATTACCAAAAAGTGTTTGATAACTGATCTTCTTCTTCTTCGCGTGCCATATCAGAATTATCCGACGTTGGCGATCACCATTGAGAAAGACTTCTCGATCTTCTGCATTATGGAATAATAGTCCTGCATTTGGTGTCTGAGTCTATTCACGAATGTTTTTAAACCAAGAAACTTGTTTTCTTCCTACACCTCTACGGCCCTCTATTTTACCTTTAAGAATCAGTTGTAATATTTTATATCGACTTCCTCTTACTAGATGTCCCAGATAAGACATTTTTCGATGTTTAACAGTCTTTAGCAGTTCTCTATCTTTGTTGACCTTAGTACTTCTTCATTAGTTTTTCTTGCTGTCCAAGGTATCTTCAGCATTCGTCTATGAACCAACATTTCCAATGCTTTAATTTTGTTCATGATCGATACTTTTAGCGTCCACACTTCTGCACTATACAAAAATACGGACCAAACATAGCACTTAACCATTATTTGCCTTAGTTCTAAACTGAGATGGTTATTGCAAAGAAATGACTTCATTTTCATAAAAGTAGTTTTAGTCATTGCTATTCTACGTTTTATTTCTATGTCTGGATCTAGTTGGTCCGTTATCACAGTTCCCAGATATGTCATTTTGTGAACTTTCTCAACTTGAACTCCGTTTAATTGAAGCTTTGCATCGGGATGTGAGTCACGACTAAACACTAAAAATTTGGTTTTGTTTGAGTTTATTTTAATGCCATTTCCTCTCTTACCTCGTGAATACGATCAAGCAGAATTTGAATACCTTCAATACTATCTGATAGAATTACTGTATCGTCTGCATATCTAATCACATTAAGTAGTTCCCCGTTGATTTTTATTCCATATGGTTGTCTCTCAAGTGCTTTTTTAATTAACTGGTCCGAGTAAACATTGAACAATGTTGGCGACAAAATGCAACCTTGTCTGACTCCTCGTTGTGTATAGAGATTTCATTGGTGTAGTTATGCCTTTTCGAAGTCCACGAAGCATACAAATACATCTTTTCTTTGGTCACGGCATTTTTGTAATAGGGTGTTAAGCGCAAAAAGTGCCTGATAACTGATACTCTGGCCAATTCTGTGGTGTTTGAGTGATGTTGTAGGCAAGTTGTATACAGGGAGGAAATAGTTACAGTAGCAGTGGAAACATTCGTAGGTTGGACTCTTATAGGCAAGGGGCTTCTAATTTCTTCTGTAGCCAATGCTGAACGTTTGATGTATGTACCTGGTTCTCTCAAAGCTGCCGATCTTCCATCAAGAGGTTCTGGTGTTCAGCAATTGTTCGAATCTCGATGGTGGGAGGGCGAATGGTTGTACAGAACCGAAAATGATCGACCCCAACAAAAAGTAGAGATTGATGAATAAGAAGTCCGTACCGAGAAAAAGAGAAAAGCCAGTTAGTCACTATTAATAAGACGTCCGATGCCTGCGAATGCATCTGCATTACTTTCCTCGGTACACAAAACTTTTAAGAATGGTAGTTTGGGCGCTACGATTGTGATATAAATACAAGAGATTCAAAGGAAAAACGTACAGGTGAATTGGTCACTCCGGAAATCGATAAAGCCGAAATGTTTGTATTGAGGCTAGTTGGTCAGTGTAGAACGACGCGTTCGGTTAAGATATGAAACGAATTTCCTCTCTGAACACGTTTGTCGATGAATTTGGACTTATACGTTTAAACACTCACGTTTAAACATTATGTAAAGACATAAAACATGGTAGTGTAGTGGTTATACCTTTCTGAGAAGACCTAAAGAGGTCAAAATACGTATAAGCGTCTTGTCGCTGCTCTGTATCGAATCAAAATCTAGTACCGTCATTATATTTTATTTCTTTACTCCGTTTGGAGTACCAGAAATTGAATTCATTACGAATTTTGACCAAGATGAACGGCATTTGGAATGCAATCTTAAGGCCCGTTTTCACGGTACACTTTGGATGATCATCCCGGATGAATCATCCAAAGTGACTACGACGATGAAAGTAATTATCGTTTACATGTATCACCAAGACTGAACTAGTCTGTTCACTTACAAATGGCGCCGACTGAAGTTGTACGTGCTGGAATTGGTATAATAAGTGAATATCTTTTAAATGAACTTGAAAATGTACTTGAAAAACAGAAGATTAGAAAAAAACGACGTTGGTGGGTAAGGCCGTGGATACTTCGACGCTACAAAATGGGGGCGTCAACGTGTTTGTTAAAGGAATGGTCTACAGAAGATCAAGCCATGTTACAAAACCATCTAAGAATGTCTGAAGTGCAATTTGAAGAGCTACTTACCAAAGTCACACCGTTAATTCAAAAGCAAAGCACAACCATGAGAGAATCTCTTCATCCAAGACTGAAATTGCAAATTGTACTAAGATATCTTGCAGCAGGAGATTGCTTTTCAACACTCGAAGCTTTGTATCGTGTACCTAAATGCTCCATTTCCCATTTTATGCCAGAAGTATTAGCTGCTATTTACGAAATACTTGAATACTGTATCAAGGTTAGTACCTAATTAGATTCTTTCTTACATATTTAAAAAAAAACGTATTAAAACTTTATCCAAAAGGCATTTTATTCAAAAATTAAAATCAAACATAAATTCATTGGTAATTGTGAATAGTCGAGAATGCTTCGGATAATATATCATAAGGAGCACTGTCTTCATATCTTTCCATTGTAGTAGTCGGTGTAGAAACTGACGTCTCACTGTTAGTCGAATATACTGTATACAGTGATGGAGTAGATTCCTTTGAGCGAGTCTGTTCTAAGTTGAAGAGATACATGCGCTCTTCCATCATAACCTTTTGCAGCTTTTCTTGACATATCAGGGCGCGGTCCAGAGGCATGGTTTTAAGCTGAACTGACAGGCTTCGACAAAAATGATCAAATTCGTTATCTGTGCTTGCATTCTGTGCAGCAATTGCACTTAATTTATCTATTGCTTTTTCAATAGCTGAAATTCCAGAAAAACGATGCTTTTTTGAAAATGGGGTGTTCAAATTTGCTTGGGGACTCTCTTTTCTGATTCGTTTGTTATGCTGTGCCAGTTCGCTTTCTTTAGGTAGTACTCCATCATCTGTCGGTATGACATCATTTGCTGCCGCAGGTATGATAACCTCGGTATCAGTATTATTTCCTTCATAATTGACATCTTCAGTATCTGGATTCTGTGGCGTTGGGCTCCTTTTACATTTCGGAACCTGAAACAGATACCGCATATTATCATACAAAACGAAGTTGCTCGAATTTTTACCCACTTATAATACACATACGTATACAGTTTTGTCTTTTACAGGTGCCTACCACTACTAATGAATGGACAAAAGTAATGAAGGAATATTATACCCTTTGGAACTTCCCTAATTGCTGTGGCGCTATGGACGGGAAACATATTGCTATTCGCTGTCCTGCGAAGTCGGGATCGTATTTTTTCAATTATAAACAAACGTTCAGCACTATTCTTTTTGCAATTGTGGATGCTAATTATAACTTCCTATATATTGACGTCGGTACAAATGGCAGAGCAAATGACGCATTAGTGTTTTCCAAATGTACATTTAACGAAGCTCTGGAGAACAATTTGTTAAATATACCTGAAAATGGTGTTTTTCTTGGGGACGACGCTTTTCCTCTTAGAACCTATCTTTTGAAACCTTATAGCAAGAAATCATTAACTAGGAAGGAAAGGGTATTTAATTATCGGCTATCTCGAGCTCGTCGCCTATCAGAAAATGCATTTGGCATACTTGTGTCTCGTTTTCGAGTATTCGAAAAGCCTATTCCTCTCAAAGTAGAAACAACTGAATTACTGGTGAAAGCTACTTGTGTTCTTCATAATTGGCTCAGACAAACCTCTACTTGCAAAGCACCATACGTAACTGAGGGATTGATTGATGTTGAATTATGGGAGGAAGGCAGAATTGTACCTGGAATATGGCGACAAACTACACACGACGGCCTCAGAGACATAACACTTGCTACAAGTAACAACCACAAGAAAGTTGCTGCCGCTGTACGTGATGATTATGCAGATCTGTTCTGTTCAACTGAAATTGTACCGTGGCAGTGGAAAATGATTTAAATGGCTTATTCTTGTATAATTGTTCATTTACTTAATAAAAATTGGTAACTAATTTTTCTGTGGTTTTGTTTATACGTGTAAGGTAAGCAACCAAGATGAAGTGGGACATTTTACGTCTAAAACGATCAACTATATTTCAGCTATTTTAAATCGATATGGTTTTTATTTTCAACTTACTACAATACCCTACGACCCACCTAATACATATATGTACTTATAATTGCTAGTAGTATGAAAATAAAAAAATGCTATACTTACTGTACTTGCTGAGCTGCTCCTCGGTACACAAACTGCACGTAAGAATGAATCGGCTTGTTTGTACCAAAAAAGTTTGGGGACATAAACGTCATCTGGCCCTGTACCACTTTTTACGGATTGATTTACTTTAGCCAGTTCAGATGAATATCGGGTACGAATTGTTTTTATTTTTAACTTAATATCTTCCACCATCACTCCCTGAAGATTCAGCTCCTCAACGATTTCTTTTAACGCTTTTTCTCTATGGGTTTTATTTTTATATGTCTCTGCTTTAGTGTTCCAAAGACACTGTCGGTCTTTCATTAAACTCAAAATTAGAGGAGTATGGTCGTCTTTCCACTTAAAAACCATGATAGCAAGCGTACAAACACAACAACTACGCACTTCAAACGCGACAATACACAACCACGTGGACCTGTTGCCGCCGTTCACTAGTCACTACCGATGAATTACAGCAACAAATGCATGTTTACATGGTTCACTTTGGATGATTCATCCGCGATGCATCCCCTAAAGTGAACAAAAGTAGAACTCGGTTCAACTTCGTTCAATATTCATTTTGGATGATCACTGTCGATGAATAATAGTTTATACGATTCATTTATTTTTCACTTTGGATGATTCACCCGGGATGATCATCCAAAGTGTACCGTGAAAACGGGCCTTTAAATTCCCTTGCCGATGTATTCATCAAGATGTTTGCTTTGCAAGTTTTAGAAAGCACAGTGGTTAAGATTTGAATTCGATTTCGGCAGGTAGAAATCGTATGATTTCTCTTTTTGTTTTTTTTATCATGTAAAGACTTTAGACTAATTAGTCTCATGAGTCACTCTCTCAAGCTACTTAGGATAATTCTTAATAGAACCAAGCAGAAATATGAAGACACAATGGGAAACAAACAATTCGGTTTCAGAGAAGGATTAGAAACAAGGGAAGCTTTGTTATCAATGCTAACACTACTTCAACGATCATGGGAAGTACAGAAACCAATTTACGTCTGTTTTTTAGATTTCGAGAAGGCGTTTGATAGGGTTCAACATGGTAGGCTGTTTGAATATCTAGAAATGATTAGAATACATGATAAAGATCTGAGACTTTTACAAAATCTACATTGGAATAAAGAAGCTTCTATTCTGGTAAACGGCAAAGAAACAGACAAAATTTGTATTCAAAGAGGTGTTAGACAGGGTCGTGTGTTGTCGCCAACTTTGTTTAACGTTTACTCAGAAATAATTTTTTACGAAGCCTTGGAAGGGCAATGTGGAGTTCGAATCGGGGGAGAAACTATTAACAAATGCAGATGACACCGCGATCGTGGCTGAAAGTATCGAAGATCTTCAATTCCTTATAGATCGAGTCACTAGAGAATGCTCTAATAACGGACTAAGCATAAATACAACAAAGTCAAAGTTACTTGTGGTTAGTAAACAAGACCTCGGCGGTATACAACTAATTGTCAATATCTATCTATCTATATAAGGATTTTTACAACTGTCTTTCAGCCAACGTCTCTAGTCCTTTCTGTTCTACCATTCTCCATCTCTAAGATCTCGTCGTTCCATGGCCTCGTCCACTTCAACCCTCTATGATCTTCGGGGTCTACCTCTTTTCCTCCTTCCTATTGGGCTCTAATCCGAAATCTTTGCTATCCACCTTGTATGATCTGTTCTTCTCACATGTCCATACCAAATTAAACATTTTTCTTCGATGTAGCTGAGTATGTCTTGTTCTACTGCTATTCTTCGTTTTATCTCCTCATTTCTGATGCGATCTATTTTTGTCACTCTGCAGCTTCTTCTCATGAACTCCATTTCAGTTGCTGTAGTTTTGGACCTGTTTCGTTTATTTATTATTCAATTTTCTGCTCCATAGGTCATTATACTGCGTACCAAGGTGTTGTCAATACTAATAATTGCCAATAATGAAACGATAACATAAGTTAACCATTTTAAATACCTAGGATGTTGGATAAACGAGACACTAAATCAGGAAGAGAAGCATTTATGAAACTCATTTATATATTCTGAGCAATTCTCAGCTGAGAATTAAGTTCCTAAAATGTTATCCTGTATTACCGTATAGATGTGAAACCTGGATTATGAGGGTTAACATGATGAACAAATTAGAAGCCTTCGAACTGTGATTATATCGTAGAATGCTCAGAATATTATGGGTTCAACACATGTTAAACAGAGAAGTCTTGAACAGAGTAGGTAAAGGTGAAGGTGACATAATAAAGATGATAAACAAGAGAAAACTCGAATATCTGGAGCATATAATGGGAGGAAGCAGATACAGGATAATACAGTTAATACGCAACGGAAAGATCGACGGAAGAAGAGGAATTGGTAGGAAGAAATACTCATGGCTCCGAAACCTTCGTCAGTGCACTGGCTTATCAGCAGATGAATTATTACATACCGGGCAAGATCGAGAACGATATCGGCAAATCATCATGGAAGCTACCCACGCCTAAAACTTGGGCACGGTACTCAAAGAAGAAGTTTAAACACTCGCTCCAAACTGACTGAATGACTTGATACAAAAAATTTTCTTCTGCCTATCTTACGTCCGCCCAGGTGAACATTTTATAGTGCGTAAGTAAATTTTGAGCTTCCACAAAAGCTCTTATCATGTAGGCACACAAGGACTAATTAGTTTGCTCCGCAAAAAATATTGGATTTTGTTTGGGGTCCATTTTAAAAGAAAATGGTCTGTATTCAAATTAGAATCAACAAAATTAAATAAATAATAGATAATTTCGGCAAAGCAATAAATGTATCTCATTATTAGAAGTTAAAGAAGAAGAGTAACAAATCTAATAATGATTTAACTAATGTCATTTGTTGTTAAAGTATATTCTGACACAACACACTTCTACTTACACAATAATAAAATCTTCTCCTGTGGACTCAATTTTAGCACACATTTCACCCATTTTCCTATTATATTCTTCCAATTTCTTAATAAGAAATGACTTGTCCTTAAAATCTATTGCTCCGTGTTCCTTTATGAAAGCGTTATACCATCTGTGACAGAAGTTTCTATCTGGACAAATACTACGGTTAACTGAAAGACAAAAGAAATTTATTTCTATATATAGTATTTCCAAATGTTTGTCAACACTTTAATGGCCCCTGCTTTGATAGTTCTGCTTTAAGATGTAATGCGGCAGCTCATTTGTCTGCTAATTAAAGTTGGACAAATCGTATATTAAATATGTGTTTACATCATCGAGCAAAAAGACGAAAGAGGGAACGTAAAGGTAATGGGGGCAAAAATATTGTTAGACAGGAAGTGCCATCTTGAGAGGCCACATTAAACAATGAAAAGGAGTCTTTCCTTGTTTAAGAAATCAAATTTAGTTGGGTTATGTTATTGTTTGTCCCAACCATCGAGCAAAAAGACAAAAGAGAGAATCTAATGGTTATGAAAAGGAGACCAAAAAAGTGGCGGACATATCCGGAAATGCAAAGGCGCTAAATTTAAATTTTCCAACACTTATTATATAATATTTTTGAGAACGTGTCTTAGACGAGAAAGTTTTAATTAATTATTAACGGTAATAGTCTAAAATGCGACACAATTGTTAAAAAACTTCAATATAAATAAGATTTCATGTGACATTTTGGACAAACAATAACATAACCCAACTAAATTTGATGTCAAACAAGGAGAGAGACTCTCTTTCCTTGTTTAATGTGGCCTCTAAAGATCGCACTTCCTGTCTAACATTATTTTTGCCCCCACTACCTTTACATTCCCTCTTTTGTCTTTTTGCTCGATGGTCCCAACTGTCACATGAAATCTTATTTATATTGAAGTTTTTTAACAATTGTGTCACATTTTACACTGTTATCGTTAATATTTATTTAAAGTTTCTCGTCTAAGACACATTCTGAAAACTATTTTATAGCTGTTAATAAGTGTCGGAAAATTTAAATTTGGCGCATTCGCATTTCCGGATATGTCCGCCATCAGAGGCCACTTTTTTGGTCTCTTTTTCATAACGACTAGATTCCCTCTTTTGTCTTTTTGCTCGATGGTTTACATGCACTCTATGGATGGACTATAAAAGCTCTGATGTCACAATGAGCGGGAGTTTTAAAAATCCTTTCCAAATATTTCTAATTTGTGTATACGTGTTCCATAAAAAGTTGGAAATATTGGTTTTTTTTTAATTATTTGAAGAATAAATAACGACTTTTTGTATGAACATTCATTCTGAGCGATTGGTATTATTTGTTCTTCGTGAATTTGTGAGGTAACAATATCAAAGTAATAAGATATTTACTATGAATGTTTATATTTTCAGGTTATGTTACTATTTGATTAAAACTTTAATTATTTTTTACTGTATTTCAAGGTATTTTGTTATTGTTTTCATCGGGGTTATTTCAAAATTAATAAATTAAGGGGAACTTTAAGAACAAATAAATTTTGCCTTCCATTTACACTTTTTTGATTGAAGCAATATTTAACACGTAACCCCAATATAAAATTAACCCTAAATATCACACATGGAGGAAATACTATATTATATTATACATACCTATCAGATCCTCGTACGTTTCAGGATTATTAAGTTGAAGCTCAAATTTAATGTATTCATAAGCTGTTGACGCATTGTAGCCAATTGCGAACAACTGTTTAATTTTTTCCTGTACATTTTTATGTACTCTTCTAAATCGCACTGCAAGTTCTGGTGTATGATTGTGTGAAATCACATAGTCAATTATACACGGCATTGATGGATCAGGTGGATCTTTCCCTCGAAACTTTTTCTGTATCCTCATCAAGCAAACAGATAGGCGCGATGGACAGTTCGTATTTCTTGAACCAGTTTTGGAATTATGGTATAAATTTTTGTCCCGAGTTTTGTGTTGACATTGAAAACGTCTTCTAAATAGTACTTTTTGCCCAGCACATTTTCTAGTGGTTTGAATAGAGTAACAGCACTGAACTTTTTCTTCCAAAGCTTCCACCCATGACTGGATCTCTTCTGGTGAGAATAAAGCTACTTTAATACAAACTTCCAATTTCGGTGGTGAACCAAATTCAACCTTATTAAGGATTTTATATTTCCAAGCTGAAGGTATGGCATTCTAAAATAAAACAAAAATAAACGGTGGTAACAAACACTTTAAGACAATCACCATCTAGAGCAGTGATGAATACGGCCCGCAAAAGTATTTAATCCGGCCAGCCGAGGGTCTATCGACAAAGACAGTATATGGCCTGCTATAATCATGTTTTGACGGTCGAGCAGTATAAAATAGATTCTACTTAGTAGAATAATAGATGCATAACCTATAGGTGAAAATAAACTAGCCGCAGAGTTCATGTGTTGCATAATATGGGGTGAAATGAGAGGCGAGTGAACTCAGTCGCCACTCGCCAGGTTTGACTGACCGCACGTTTTACGTTAATTTTGTCTCTTGTTCTTGCTTGTTCGCGTAACGCTTTACATTCATAATATTTAAAAATGGTCAGAAAGACAATATTGAATTATTATCGTACCATTTGTATACAATCTACAATCCCTAAGCTCTTCGACTGTCTTATAGTAAAGCAACTTTCTTGGTTATGTAAAGGCTTAATATTTCAATCACAACATGGTTTTCATAGCAAAAAATCCACTGCAACAAACTTGCTTTGCTATCAATCTCATATATTATCTCATATGGAAGACTGTAAACAGGTAGATGCAATATACACAGATTTTTCCAAAGCATTTGATCGTATAAATCACCAAATACTTTTGGATAAATTAATTAATGTAGACTTTCATGTCAGGTTCGTTGAATGGGTTAAAAATTCTACACCTGGGAGAAGTCAAAGAGTCAAGATAGGTTGTCATCTGTCTGATAGTATCTCAGTAACATATGCAGTTCCTCAAGGAGGCCACCCTTCTCCACTTGGTTTTAATATCTTCGTTAACAACATCACTTCCTGTTTCCTAAATAGCAAATGTCTAATGTTGGCAGATAACAGACTGGCTACAAAATTGGTGCAATCACAACAAACTGCACTTAAATATAAAAAATGTTTATAAATTTCTCTTGTAAAGTCAATAGAATTGGAACAAGCTATACTATTAATAATTAGCCACTGAATTATGTTTCTTCTATTCGGGATTTGGGTGTTATTTTCGATGAGAAGCTTACTTTCTGTGACCACATAAACTCTTCAATAAAGGTATCTAGATTTCTTGGTTTCGTTACTAGGAATTTCAAGTATTTCTCCATTGATTTAACAAGATTAGTGTATTGTTGCTTAGTTAAAACTATTTTGGTCTAACTGGTAAGCAGGTTTTATATGTTTTCAATAAAATTGATAGTGTGTAAAATAATTTATTAAGCTGAGTATACTTTCGACATAATAAATGTCATCATCAGAGCTATCCTAAAATATTGTTAAGTAAATTTTTTATAAAATACAATGACAGAAAAAACTTACGTCAATTAGGCAATAAATACTTCATAGAAGAAAAATTGTGGACAAACAACATATTAAAAAAACAAAGATTGGGCTTTCTAGGCCACAGATCTTGGGTCTAACCCTTATACATATGTATAATTTACATCAAATACTTAATAAAAAACATGATTACCACATACAGCGACGACAACAGCTGTTTTTGACTTACATTTTTGAAGTAAGATGAAGGAGGAAGCTCGGATATACGGAAATAAATCTGAGAGCGACCTCTGTATTTAAAATTATTAATTAAAAATTGAAAATGTCTAAACTGACGTCTGAAGGTTATTGATTATTACTTTTAGTTACTATAGAATTTTAAATTTAAATATTTTAAATTGATAAGTCAACGTGAAAATTTAAAATATACATTTATCAATTTATCAAAACAAAACTTTTAAAGTTTGACCAAGTAGAAGAATATTATTTTGGAATACTGTTCAGTTATTTGGTGACCTGTCAAAGTATTTTGGTCAAAATCCTGATTATTGCCATATTGAATAACAACTATCTTTACTTTCACTCAAGAACTGCAGTGCTGTGGCAGGAGATATATATAAGATCATACATGGATTTATTGATTGTGCAAACCTGTTAAGCCAGATTAACTTTAATGTCCCCATCAAGCTTTATGTTACCACAATATTTTCAATATTCCTTTCCACAGAACAATCTATCATATTCACAGCCCATTGGATAGATACATGGGGCTATTAAATGTTCTTGACTTTGATATTTTCAATATAATTTAAACTCAGTTAAAATGATCTCTTTGTGATATGTATATTGGGATTGTTGAATTTTGTTCCTGTTATATTTTGTTTGTTTTTTTTAGTATGTAAGATTTTTAGTCTCGTTTTTTATTTTTTAATATTGATTTTATATTATAAGTAATTTCAAGTTTTGAATACTAACTGTGATATTGTATATTGTAATTTAAAATGTTAATTGGGTTATCCCGTGTATTAAATAAATAAAAAAATAAATAAATATTTGTTTGAAAAAATAAGTTGAGCTTTTGGGATTATAGCGTATAAAAAACGAAAAGTTGATTCCAAGTGTCGTTTGTTTAAAGAAGAGTAGGCTTGGAAATACTTTTTACGAAATACAACGTTAAGCCAGTATGTCTTATTTCTAATGAATAAGTGGCGGTATTTAAAGATTTTAACCTTGTTCATAATTTTAACACCAAACATGCTTTGATGAATGACACAGAAAAGGAAGGCAAATGCGGAAAACCTAAAAAAAAACAATATCTACTTATAAAATAGCTAAAAATAACAACCCATGCTCAAAAGGAGAATTTGTAAAGATTATATGGTATGAGTAAAATTTTATGTCCACAAAAAAGTTTGAGTCTGTCAGCTTATCGTGAAAAACAGTAACCACGGGTATTGATTCCGTTACATCAAACTTGTTGACCCAATTTAGGCAGCATATAGAAAAATGGCTACATCAAAATTTAAATATTTTTCCGTGATAATGGATGAAAGTAGGGATAGAAGTGGCAATGCTCGATTATTAATCTTCATTAGAGGCATTGAAGACGAATTTAATATTACTGAAGAGCTATCTTGTTTGCAATTGATAAAAGGAAAACCGATGGGGTAAACAATTTATAACAAATTTTCTGAAGGTGTTCAAAATTTAATGAATTTCAGAATTATCCAATATAACTACAGATGGAGCCACAAATATGGTTGGAAAAAACAAAGGATTTTCAGGTATTTTTTGGAACCAGAATCCTAATAACGATGTTGTATTTTTACATTGTATAATTCACCCGGAAGTCTTTTGTAAAGCTGCAATAGATGTACATGTGGTTTTAAAACTAATTAATATGATTCAAACTTGTGGCTTGGTACTCCGAAAATTCCAAAAATTTTTGATCAAAATTGACCCAGATTATTCTGACCTTCTTTACCACATGAAAGTAAGATGGTGAATTTGTGGATATGCATTTGAAAAGGTTTGGAATTTAATAGAGGAAATACAAAATGTCTTAAAGATTTAAACAGACAAATGGTCTGATTTCCAAATCTTCAAAGATAAAGATTTGAGTAATGGTTTTGCATTTTTTAACGATTTACTTGAACACTAGGTATAACAAATAAAATAAAAAATCCAAGAACAAAACCAATTTATAGATGAGACTTGGGGTTATTTTAAATATTAGGACATGGATTTGTAAATCTTTAAACTACAGTTATTATAATAAACACATTCTTAATGGCATATTGAGATTCTGGCAATAAATTTAAGATCAGGTGTTAACTCTAGAGGATACTAAGTTTTGATAAATAAGCCTGATCAAAGAATTGGTTCCTCTTCTCATGGAGACCTTAATTATTTTTTAAAAAGGATTAACTATGTTTTTCTATCAAAGTCTCAATGTCTTGACGATACTAGAGGTAATTAGTGGTATGCAACAATTGACGGAATTCCAAGTAACTACCAATCAATTACATGGTTCAAAAATCCCATAAAAATATATTAATAAAAAAGCGAATTTGAATGTAAAATAAAAATTGAAGATAACAAAAACAAAATGTTTTAAATTTCTTCATAACCTAACTAAACTAAACGACTGATTTTTTACTTAAGTTAATAAAGTTTTTACTTAAGTAAGTAATTTAAGTCTATAGATGACAGGTCATTTAAAATAATATAGTCGGCACCAGTATTTATAACACATCTACTAACCTGAATATCCTCAATAGTAAAAACGCTTGAACTAGATTGGTTCATTATTTGATCATATATGAAGGATATATACAATTAAAAATAGGTTCCTGGTACATTTATCATAATATTTGGGTAATTATTATCCATTAATTGAAATAAATACACTTTAAAAATTCTATAGTTTAAAATTTCTACTTAACGAGAATGCATACAACTCAGAGTTATGTTATGTATGGATGTCAAATGTCAAATGATCAGATGTTTGGTTTTACAGTACAACAAACTTAATATATGTAGAACATTTATTTTGAAATTTTATACAATCAATTAATTGTTATCAAATATTTGTAAATGAATACAAATATATAATTTTGTTGTATGAACTTAAATAATACTAGAAACTAGAATATAGAATCTATTTTATTTATATTAATATAAATTACTACAATATGAAGTTAGCAAGATCTAAATAATTATTCTGGTCCCATAGGCGTAGGCGAGTAAATAATGAAGGGTTTTACCTATATCACAGAATAATAAATAATTCTATATCACAAAAGAAACACGCAAGCCCGAAGTGGATACAAACTGCCTACAATAGAGAGACGTGGAAGAAGGAAGAGAAGGCTTATGTCCAAAATTGGATAGCAAGAGCTGCTATATAGATAAATATCACAGAATAGGAAACAATCAGAATTCCCCTAACTCGATGGAATGCCCATTCTCAGATGCCGTTTTGAAGTTTTTCAGCACGTGATCGCCATGTTTTAAACGGAAACAAAGACACGGAATGAGAAATTTATGACAAGCTACGACAGAACTGTAATTTAAATTTTTAGAGAATTTAGTACATTTGAAATAATAATCTATTCTTCAACTAAAAGTACGAATAAAATAGTGCATTGTCTATAGTTGCCGTAAATAAATTAAACCGCGTTAATTTTTCTATTCACGCCAGAAAAAAATGTAACTGAACAGCACTGGTTCCGTTTAAAACATGGCTGATTCCGTCTGCGCAAACGAGATGGCGTACTTATTTTTTTCAAACAGAGTGGGCATTCTGATTGTTTATTATTCTGTGCCTATATTAAGAAAGTATATAATTTGTAACTAGGTATATGAACAACCAGAAGAATTATATGAAAGAGAACTGAGAAATGACATAGCGCTAATGATCGAGGACTTCAATGCAAAAGTAGGTAACGAAAACCAACATAAGGAAGCAGCAATAAAAGAAAGTATTCATGACTAGACAAATGATAATGAATGAAAATTATGCCACCTAGCAGCAATAAACAGTTACATTATAATTTATGTACTATGATAAAAGCATAAACTTTAACCACAGAAGAAAACAAAGTAATATGTACGATATCTTGAATTTGCGAGAGTAGCGTTTTTATTTTGGCTATCTAAAGATCGATTCAGATACATCAGTCACGTCACAGTCACGGTACCGAACCGGTCCTATTTGGTCACAGAACTATCAACTATTTGACAGCTAGGAAACTGTTTGTCAACTGATGAGTGTGAATGCCGGCAACATATTTGTATTAAAGAATATTTTGTATGACGGATTGTCCGATTCGGCGCAATCACTGTGACGAGACGTGACTGATGTGTCTGAATTGACCTTAAAAGTCGATTCAGACACATCAGTCACGTCTCGTCACAGTCACAGAATAATAAACATACAGAATACCCACTCTCCACGGAAAATTAAGTACGCGCATCTCCTCCGCGCAGACGTTCCGCCATGTTTTAGGAGGATTTTAAAGAAATTATGTGGTGTGCATGGAAAAATTAACCAGGTTTATTTGACTTACGGCAATCATAGACATACTATACAATTATATTAACATTGTTAAATATAATAACATAAATATAATATAATTAAACATAAATATAAACAATTACATAACCACACAAATCATATGTCTGTGTCCTCCTCAAACATGGCGCGCGTGCTGAAAAACTTCAAAGGCGGCATCTGAGAGTGTCCCTTCTGATTGTTTATTATTCTGTGTCACAGTCCTGGCGCCTAACCGAACAATCCGTCATACAAAATATTCTTTAATAGAAATATGGCGCCGGCATTCACATTCATCAGTTGACCACAGAATAATAAACGTTGACGAACAGTTTCTCATCTGTCAGATAATTAATAGTTCTGTGACCAAACAGGACCGGTTCGGCTCCGAGACTGTGACGGGACTGATGTGTCTGAATCGACCTTAAGGATGATTATATGTGGAATTAATTAGCAAATGTAATTTTAGAATATTTAAAACTAATAGGGAATCAGTAAAAATTATGGAGTAGGTATGTATTATTATTCTCGAGCCTTCATAATGACAAAAGCTTTTGCTGTCAAATTGGATGTTTCTTACTCAATTTAAATATGCGTTGTACTTACAGTGGGACAATAAAACCCGCACCAGCGCTATAAGGATGTTTTGATGCATTGGGATTATTGGGATTAAGGATTTATTAAAAGCTGTATACATTCGGTATTTGTTTAAGATCTAATTGATTATTTCATTATTAAGATATGTTAATTCAGATGATCTAGATCTACTGTGTTGTAACGACGTAGAAATGTCATTTAGGTATGATTTAAGTACAACGAACTTCACAGGACATAATGAAATATTTAATTTAATTTATTTTCGGAAGATCCTTCGTATCATTTCTGAAATAAAAATTATTTTACATGTTTATTAATTTTTTTCTTATTCTAGAAATCAACTGAATTTTAAAAAACAACAAATTGTCTTCGTAATGAAATTAATTAAATTTTCTTAATAAATGGCAAAATTAATTGTTCATTGTACAATACAAATTCACTAACAAATAGTAACCTTCATTCGATAAACTTCTCCGGCTATGGATAATTTTGACAATTTAGATTTTTATGTTCAGCTACTTCGTTCGTTGGCTTTGTCAGTGTACCAGAAACGAACAAATGTTTTGATTCAAAGGTTTGACCAATTGACTTTGACATATTTTTATTTATTCTCTATTATCTATTGTTGTACAGGCGTTATATTAAAAATATAAATATAAATACTAATCATGTTAATTTCTTTAAAAAAAATTCACAAGGAACATTTACACTATTTAACTCTCCAACCGAGTCAAAGTAAGTATAAGACAATGTCTTTATATGACAATAGGGTTATATTTTATAATCTCCTTAAAACATCCTTATATTTAGAAAATGATTGATGATAATGCTTTAATCACTATCTTTTCCTATCATAACAACGTTTATCATTTTACTTATTGTGGAATTAGTAGAATCCCATCTGCTAAAGTTTTGCACTTGTATTATATTCTCTTTTTTAACACACAGAATCTAAAACTGTGAGATTCAGCTGGTCTTATATCTACCATAGAATAATCAAAGACAGAATAGTGGAAATTTTTAGTTTTAACTGTGCTGGGACAATCAGTATTATTTTTTACTTATTTCAATTTTAAATTCATATTGCCCAATACCTTGAGGTTATGTTTTTTTAAAGAGTTATTACACAGTATAGACAACAACGTTATTATAATGATAAGTCTGTTACAAATGGTTCATAATGAAACACTTTGTAGTCTCTAAAAAGTTTTTCTGCCTGTCTGGTGAATGTCCAGTAAGGAACCCTATTATGACACTGGGCTGAATCTGGCTTATTTTCTCAATATCTCATGCACATTTTACCTCATGCTTGGTCAGGTATATTTTTCTTTTCCTTGTCCAGGTCTTGTGTTTGTTCAGATATAGGCTTTTTTCCAGTTGTGGATGGGCTTTTCGCCATTCCTAAATTAAATTATTTTTTAGCTAATGCTCTTTTGGCAAGTTCATTTTAATTTCTCATTCTCATTTTAATTTCTCTTGTATAGTGCAAGACTGAATAAATCACTACATATCAAGTATTGTTATTTAATTTATATAAATTAATGGATAAAAAGATGACTACAAATATTTGTAGAACTGATAATATTGGTATTGTTTTTTTTTGTTAGCTCAACATCCATCAAAATCATTTTTAATTCTCAATTATAAAACTGACTCTAATTTTGAATAACAGTAGACAATTTAGATCTACACTATACACTAGCTAGATATAATCATACCAACTATTCAAGTTGTGCAGTGTTTTACCAGCTTACAAATTATTAAAGTAACAACTTTTCAAGCAACAAATGGACAAAACGTAATATTTGAAATCGAGGGGTTCGAGCGAAAAACCCGATAACTAACAAAATCATTGTTCGGAGATAATCGCGATTAAAGATTTTCGTAACATTGAAGAGGCTTTAAAATCGTCACAGGAAGTTGTTTCAAATATTTGTTAAAGCCAAACAGTAGAGAATTTAATGTTTAGTTAGAATAATTTATTTTTAGTTTAACTTATTAAAACGTATTTACAAAAAAAAATAAAACATGATATTTATCGGGTTTTTCCTCGCTGAATGAGTACAACAATTCATTTTATTGGTTTTTATTTTGAATTTTGTCAATTATAAAATGAAAATGAACTGTATTTTATTCAAATAAAATAAATAATAATCTACATTCCTTTTTAGGAAATTAAAGGGTAATATCTTCTTCTTCCGATTCTTCTTCCATCATTATGTCTGGAATTCGATCTACGACATTATTCCCTGTTTTTAAACTTGATATCCATGCAGCTCTTCCGGAGAAATGTTTTCTTGGCATATCTTCATTAAATACTTAAATACAGAACTACCCTTTTTGCCGTTTTTGGGTAGCGGTGATTCCCAAATAGTAAAACTGTATACTAGAAAATTTTCTACGATAGTATAATTGACTAATAGATCCTTTGGGTATTTGTAAAATTGCTTGTAAATCCAATGTTACAGACATAAATGTCTTGTCTTTATATGCTTTGTCTTTATCTATTCTTTTAGCGGCCTGACAAATTTCGTTTCTTTTTCTATGTTCTTCGTAGATTATTTCAAGATTTTTTCTCTGCTCTAGATCAGACTTAGCATATTTGGCACAGATAAGACACTGGTCCTTTTTGGGCGTGAAAAAACTTAGATTAAACTCTTAACAAAAAATAGATCGATATTTACGTAAAGCAACAGGGTCTCGACTATTTTCGATGCAGTTATCTGAGTAAAACTGGTACATTTTTTTTGATATTTAAAGTGGGATCTGAGTATTTTCTAATGGTCTCCTTTCGGGTATAATGAGATTCCATAACCGAAAAGGATTCAATATGACTTTTAACAAATTGAACATCTTCAGCCTTTGTTTTGTTAACTGGTTCCTGTTTTCCGCGATTGTCTTCTTTAGAATAGCAACCAATAGAATCACTGTTAGCTACAGCATTTATTATAACATCTTAGGATATACACAGCGTTTTTGTAAAAAAACTTTTGGCACACTGGAATCCGTTCGTTGTTAGCTAGTGGAAAAAAACATTTCTTGCTAAATTTTCCTTCCTTTCTTTTGGAAGTTTTAAGGAAAAGTCTAGTCCTAATTTGTTTTACAGCTATGTTGTGTAAAATAAATTTTTTTTTGATTTAAAATCTAGACTCCAGTAATTTCTACAGAGTTTGTTTCTATAATCATCAGAAAACTTTTCAGTATACTTAAATTTACCTTTATTACAATTGATTTGCTGGGGTACCTTGGGAGCGCTGGTTTTGTTTTTCTTTATATATGTGCTCCCTTCTGACCGCCTTTTTTTTCGCAATATTCAATTTCCATTCAGTAGGATTACTTTAACGCCACCTTTTCGGCTTTGTTACCTTACGCAGTACTGGTTATAAAACGTCTTTAATTATTAATGTCACCAAAGATGTAGACGTCTCAGAGTATAAAATTTTCTTACGTTAAGCTTTTTTTTGATTTACGAGATCATTTTCAGATCCAACAATATCTTCAAAATCCAAAGATAACTCTGTGCAGTAGTTTGGATCCACGTCAGAATAATCACCTCCAAGTAAAGAAGTAGTATCGTCAAATTCATCAATTTTGTCGATGGACTCCTCAGCTTCTGAAATAAAAACCAAAATAGAATACTAATACATTAAATATTATTCTAAAATGAAGTCACCTGTGTTAAAATCATCATCTTCCATTGTATTTTCGATATACTCTGCTATCCGGCATTGATTTTCGTCTAGCTCAGAAGAAGTTTCAGATATGTTCTATTGCACATTCTTTGACATACAAGTAGGAATTTAATATTCACCATTAACGCGCATACGAGTAATCTGACGGCTGATGTGGTAATATAACTTTTTTCTGGTCTAATGTAAGGGAATGAATCAAAAAACCAAACGTTAAGAAAACATGAAGCTAGAGTTGGATTTTAATTTCAGTATTTTATATGCCAGAAAATTTTCAATGCTAAAAAATTCCACAGAGTGATGCAAACTTTGAGAAAAAAAAACATACTTTGATTGGTACACCCGGTATACAATGAAAATTCATCCGATTAGCAACATTATTACAGCGATATTGTTAAAGAATAAGACTTATAACATGTTAAAAAAATTACTGAAATTGGACAACAGGTTTAGAAGATACGAGACATCAAAAATGGCCCATTTTTAAGGTGTCCGGTTAATTTTGCACCCCAGTACTGAATAATTTTAGGTCTTGATATCGAAAATGAATTTATTGAGATAAAGTAAATTTAAAATAAAACATCTCAATTTCACCTAATTACTCTCAAATTTAATGGATGACAATTCAAATAACTAGGAACGATATAATTATACACATAACAAAAAATATTACTTACCAGTCTTCAAAATAATGGTTTTTGGTGACCATTTCCACTAACATCTTACTTCGATTACTCATTTTACTAATTTATAAAAATCAAACTGTTTATTTCGAAAACAAGCACGAATCACAATAACAATTCAACATCAAACTATACATTTGTTAGAGAACGCAACGTCCATAATCAAGTCCAGATATGTGTGAACTAATCAGAAGTACCGACCCAAAAAGGTAAATCGTTGTACTTCGTGTAACCTAAAATTGATTTACTGGGTTTTCGCACAACAAAAATGTGCTGAAATTGAATAAAGTATAATAGTATAAAATTCTTTATTGGATTTTCGCATGAATATATTTTGTTAAAATTAACAGCTTTGTAATCTTCATATCCGATAAATGTATTTATATATTTTTAAAATCTTAACTTGCGAATTTCTTTAAAAAAGAAAGCAGTTAAGTTGCTCTAGCTTATTTTTCCTAGAACTGATTTTATATTTCAGACATTTATTATGAATTTCAATTTCCGATAAAATGAGTTATCTGTTTTTAACTCAGAAATATTTCTAATAAAATTAGTAACTTTACATAGGAAAAGAAGATAAATGATTCTATCGGATTCTTATATTATAAATATGTTTACTTCAAAGTATTTTTATCAGTAAAGTTATATATGGGGTTGGTGTTATTTAAAAATATGACTTAACGGTTTTTACCATGTTTGGTTTTTATCAATTATTGTGCTTAAAAATGTTAATATCATTTTAAAAATTTTTTCAGTGATAGAAGACGTGTTTTTAATACAGAAGAAATAAAAATACCGTATTTCATAATTTTGTCATTTATCGGGTTTTCGCTCGAACCCCTCGAAATATTAATCATGTTATAAAATATTCCTAGACATTATTGACATGCCTAATTCATCATACAATGGATTGATTTAATTTTAATACCATTTTAGTTGTGGAAGAGTTCTGTACATTAGTTACAGAATTTTTAGATAATGGTCCAAATATTGAAAGGTATGCAAAAATTGCCAGAAAGCTGGGGATAGAACAAGAAATCATAGAAAATACTGTTTATGGAATCACCCAGTTATTATTACTAAGTTGTAAATATAAGGTAATTATTTTTAATTGTGAAGTTTTTAAATAAGATACACAGCTATACTTCATCTAATTTATAGTCATAGTCTGTGAGGTCATCATCATAGAAATAATATTTAAAGATTTCTATTAATGTTAACTTAAAGAAATACACAATAATATGTTTCATTTAATTTGTATAAATGCATTATAAAGCGTTTTTATGAAGAACATTTGTTTGGAATACACTAACTGTAATCAAACGAAGGTGATATTTTGGCATAAATTGGTAACACTTATTTGACAGTTGCGGTGTTGACACTTTTTGTACTTTATTATTTTGAATTTTAAAGTGAATACCTCTTGTTTTATATTTTTACCTATTTAATAAAATCTGTTCTTTTTAGAACAAAATTAGTGTGTTTTATTTCAAAAATGTTACATAAGAATTTAAATAGTCGTTGTAAAGAGATGGTAATACTTTTGCAATAATTATGTGACCTATTTGATTTAAAATGGAGTCAGGATTTTTTTATACTTTGGTAACTATGTCAACTTCGATCTCTGTCAATGATAATGACATGCAACAGTAAGTAAATTAGATAAACTATACTAAAGAATGAGAATAAACCACAAATCTAAAATTTAGTGGTTTCGAATCTGGTTCAGTTCATTAAATAAACTAAGAAAAGAGCCTTTTCTTATTTTATTTGTGTGCTAATTGGCATCCTCTTTTTTGTTTGATCTTCGATCCAAAGGTCCAGTGCTTTTTCAATTTTTTTCAAGGTTTGAGATCGCAAAAAATGAGACACTTTGTTGCTTAAACTTGAACGAACGGTTTTCTTACCCTTTGATCCTTGGAGTAGATTCATTGACTTTAAAATTCTTTGTGGCACTTCCACATGATTCTCCTGCAGATAAACAGTCTAATAACTGAATTTTTTTATCTAAACTCATTACACATCTTTTTCTTTTAATAGAATATTTACTATTCCTTTCAGACAAAGAGATTTTTCAGTACAAAAACGAAAGAAGTATATTATGTATGTACATATTACATATCTGTGATACCTACTACTAAATGTGACGCATAGGAATGATATTATCGGACGCCAGTGAATTACTGTATGCTGTATAGAGCAGAGCATTCGTCATAAGTCGATTGGGCGGATATCGAAATCGCGGATAAGACAAATCGCGATTGATGAGTCCGTGAATAACGAGGGATTACTGTAGTAACTTTTCAAATGATGTAAAATTCAATTTGGAGGTAGTTAGTAATAAAACAATGTATGAAAAGAAGGAAATAAGCATCAAAACTAATTTACTAGTATGTAATATGATTTAGATCATTATTTAGAGCTGCTGTCAATAAAGTCACGATAGAGAATATGGTATCCAACATGATATCCAATGATCGATAATAGTCATGGAACTAGAAGAAGAAGATAATATGATTAACATAATAATAGCGACATCTGCAATTAAAAGTTGGGTATTATAAAAGAAACTTTGAAAGTAAAATAAATGGTAATGAAATGTAAGTTTTGAGGAAAAGAATACTCAACGCCGGAAAGGCATACCAGAAATTGATCAAATAAACCTTAAATAAAATAAGCAGAAAACAATAGGAATGGTTTGGGCACATACAGAGGATGGGAGACGAAAGATGGGCAAAGAAAATAGTAGAAACTAAATGAGTAAAGAAAGAAAGAGGACGATCAAGAAAATGCTGGATAAATGAAATTATTAAAGCAGGTAAAGGGGGGGACGAGTTGAAAGAGGAATATTAAACATTACAAATACACATATTCTTGTAATGTACTGTGTTTGAGTTTGTTTATCTACCTTTATTGTACTGTGTTTATTTCTGATTTGTTCCCTCCTCACTTAATCCTCTCAACCATTTCCTAGACTTTGGTTATAATTGGACATATGTGATGCTAATATATTAATAATAATAATAATAATATAATAATAAAGGTCTTTATTTTTCCTTCAAATTCATACAATACATAAAATATATAAATTATATATGCATAAAATACAATAAGAAAGAAAAAATAAAGAAATAAGAATGAAAAAAGATCAGTTGGTGCTGATTTCAAGAAATCAGTACCTCTGCTTTTCATCTTAAGCAAGAGAAAAAAAGTATAATATATTTTTTTGCACGTTCTGTAACAATCAATTAAAAACCATAACCAATAGAAACATTTAGCTATTGTCCAAAAATATGTCATCAAATAGTTGCACATGTGTTACTCACTTGGCAATTTAGATTTAAGAGATTTCTTAAAAGATATAATCGATTTTAATTTTAATTCTTCAGCTAATACATTATATACTTTTGATATTTGATATGTAAATGAATTTTTGAATTTTTCTGTATGATGCGGCGGAGCTGTAATTGTATTTTTGTCTCTTGTATTGATATTATGTATGTCACTTCTGTATATAATTTTTTTAAAAAGATATGCTGGTAGCGAATTTTTGATAATTTTGTGGAAAAGACAAGCAGCATGTAGAAATCTTTTCTTTTCCATGCTCAACCATTTTACATGTTTTAATTTGTGAGAAATAGGCTGGTGTCTTCTTACACCACAGATCAGACTAAGACACGAATTTTGAACCACCTGAATTCTTCTCCTGTCATCTGAACTAATACAAAGCCCATACACAACATCTCCATAGTTAAATTTTGATAATACTAAACTTTTACACAGTATTCTTTTTACTTTTTATGACAGACAGCGGCGATTATGATAAATTGTTCTTAGACTGAGAAATGCATTTCTCACACAGGTGTTAATATGTTTTGTAAATTTGAGGTGATTAGAAACCTAGATTTTTTGCACTAGTTACATCAACAACTATTTCAATGATGTTACTCATCTCCAAACACCCCCTGTTTGGACCAAAAACTACCAGATTATTTTTTTAGTTTATATTTAATGCATGATTTCTTGCCCAAGCAATCAATGATTTATTATTAATTATTATTAATATGTAAGTTGTGTTTATATTCACTACTGCCTTAAGAGAATTGAACTTTCTTTAATATAAGTATAATATAATACAATTTTAATATAAGTATAATATAATACAATTTTAATATAAACTTTTCTTTCAGTTAAGTGAGGCAGATTTCCGAGATTCAGTTCTTACTTTAGGATTTTCTCCTGAACAACAAACAGTCTTAAGTAATTTATATAACTCAAAACAAAGCAAAATACACGAAGTACTCAAAGTTCCCATTAAGGAACCTCACTTTGATGATTTGCGGTGGAGGTTTGAGGCACAGGTGTCATCAAGATCACTCCTTCACCATGTAGTACCACTTGTAACGATGGAACTTACAACGAAAACAGAAGTCGGTGGAACTTTTGAGAAAGAAAAGTGTCTCCTACAGACGGATCCTAATAATTTATTACATATAGTGAATGAGTTAGAAAGAGCATTAGCTGAATCTAAGAGTAGACACTCCAGAAAAATTCAAAGAGCTCTAAAAAGTTGAAAGAAGAAACTGTAATGGATATTTTCCGATTAAAATGATATAAAATAGGCGGGAAATAAATTTGTAATACGTTACAAAAAATATATTCTAATTAAGATTTTTGTGTATTCAGAATAAAAATGCCTGAAATTGAAAAAAATTGATTTAACATTTGCGTTTAATTATTTCCTATTAATCTATTCCTATTCGATAGTAAGGATCATTCTAGCAAAAAATATCATTTTAATTTTAAGTCCAACTTAGCAAATTACGAAATACACTTTATAGCAGAGCTGTCCAACCTAATTTTGTGGAGGACCAGGTTTAGTATTTTTGTAACCGTAGCGTGCCAAAACAAATACCAAATAGCGAAAGTATAGGTAAGCACTCTTCTAGCTATTAAAATATACAAATAAAATACAATAGTATTTTCCTTTATGGATGATTTATTAAAAAAGAAAACAAATTATTTCACTTAGCTTAGTTAAAATCTAATGATACGACTGGCCTCTGTTTTGCTTGCACAAGGCAACTATCAGATGATATTTTAGAAGTGACCATAAGCTATAAGCGTCTATATTCTTTAAAGTAACTATGCACAGAATACCTGTAAGATGGCTGCCTGTTATGGATGATGGATTTCTGTGTCCATATTTCTTTTATAAGCTGCTGCAATGCCATTATGATATGGCCACATTCTTTTATATAGTTCAGCTGGAAGATTATCTCTGGCTAGTTTTTAAACTTCAAGAATCGTTAGTGGTTCCTTTTGTTAAATGTTAAAAGATAGAATGCTCTGAATTCTTTATCTCTGTCGAGGTTTTCTATATATTTAAGTTCATTATTTAGGTGGTATTAGTATTCAGTATTTCATCTGATACGCTCGTCAGAGCTACTTTGATATTTTTCCATAGACTCAGCTTGGAAAAATATCAAAGTAGCTCTGACGAGCGTATCAGATGAAATACTAGGACACAAAAAAAAACAACAAAAAAATGGTTCGATGATGATTGCCTGAACTCCATATTAGCAAGAAATATGGCTAGAAGGAACATGCTACAAAACCCCTCGCACAACAACAATGAAATGTATAGACAAAGAAGAACAGAGACAAGAAAACCAATGAAAAGGAAGAAGAGAGAGTATCAGGAACAAATAATCAGAGATATAGAAGAAAAAAGAAAGAACAAACAAGCGAGGCAGTTCTTTAAAGGAGTTTCAGATATCAAGACCGGGTACCAAGCAAGAACAGGAAACTTTCTTCAAAACGACAGTGGACAGCTTATCACTGATGACAAGGAAATCTTAAAAACCTGGAAGGAATACTTCTATCAACTATTGAATGACCAATCTAGCAGAAGTACATCAAGCATAGAGGTACATACAGCTGAAATAGAAAACCAATACCCGACATACGAAGAAGTAATACAGGCAATTAAAAAACTTAAAAATAATAAGACACCAGGTAGCGATGGTATACCCGCAGAGTGCTTAAAACATGGAGGAGAAGCGTTGTACAGTTCGATATACAAGCTAATTCAAGATATTTGGCAAGAAGAAACAATGCCAGATGAATGGAAAGAAGGGGTTATTGTACCAATACACAAAAAAGGAAACAAAAAGCAATGTATTAACTACAGGGGAATAACACTCCTAAACACCACCTACAAAATCATTGCAAACATCCTGCTAGAAAGAACCAAAACATACACAGAAGAAATCGTTGGAGATTATCAATGCGGATTTAGACCGGGCCGCTCTACAATTGACCAGATATTCACAATAAAACAGATAATGGAAAAATGCTGGGAGTTTGCGTGAGCTTCATCAGATGTTCATAGATTTTAAACAAGCATTTGATAGAGTATGTAGGGACAGACTGTGGACAGCGATGCAGGAACTTGGCTTACCAAAAAACTAGTCCGGTTGATACGGATGTGTATGGAACGGTTACGATGTAAGGTGAGAGTTGGACAACAATACTCGGACACATTTGAAATAAATAATGGACTAAAACAGGGAGATGCACTTTCACCACAACTCTTCAACTTAGCTCTGGAGCACATAATCAGAAGTGCAAGAATCGAAAAACCGAATACAGTATTTCATCGAGAAGGACCAAACTTACTACTGGCATTTGCAGACGATATAGATCTAATAGGAAACACGCGATTAAGGATGAAGGAGACTTTCGTAAGGTTTGAGAAGGAAGCACAGAAGATGGGGCTCCAAATCAACGAAAACAAGACGAAATATATGTATATGAGCCGCAATAACCAAAGCAGAGACAGAATCGGTCAGAACATCACCATCGATGACTTTGAGCGCGTTAGAGAATTCAAGTATCTTGGAACAACAATAACGGATCACAAGAAATAAACAACAGGATTCAGGCCGGCAACAGATGTATTTTTGCCCTCCAAAACTTTATAAAATCAAAACAACTAACACGACGTACGAAGATACAGGTCTATAAAACAATCATACGACCCGTTGTGATGTATGGAAGCGAAACGTGGACGATAACAAAGGCAAATGAAGAGAGACTACGTGTTTGGGAAAGACAAATCATAAGGAAGATCTTTGGTCCGGTGCTTGATGAAGCATCAGGACAATATAGGATAAGAACTAATAAAGAGCTTGAAGAACTTTACCCAAGAACTAATAAAGAGCTTGAAGAACTTTACCCAGACGCCAACATCATAAAAGAAATAAAGTCCAGAAGACTCCAATGGGCAGGACACCTCAGAAGACATTCTGACGAACGAACAGTAAGACTGGTGTGGGAGGAAGTCCCAACTGGAAGGAGACCACGCGGACGCCCTCGTCTCCGGTGGCGAGATAATATAGCAGGAGACCTAAGCACTATGGGCGTGGAGAATTGGATGGAGGTTGCTCAAGACAGAAAACAGTGGAGGCATGTTGTCGAGTCGGCTAAAACCCACGAAGGGTTGTAACGCCACGGAGTAAGTAAGTATTTACGTGGTGTTAAGTTTGAGCCCATGATACAAATACTAAATTGTACTTTAATTACTTTATTATGAAATATCTAATAGAGAAATGGAAATGAGAAAAGAGCTTGCTTCCCTGTTATCTGTCGCCGTTGACAGCCCAACGCAACGCTGCCAAGCAACACAGGAACTTACAATTAAATACACATCAGGTAGTTTCGTTTTTTTGTTTGTGTATCCTCTTCTTCTCTTCTCTTTCTCTGGTAATTAAGCATCTTTCTGTAGGCTTCATTTTGTTCTTTTGTTGCATTCATCGTCAAACCAATGATTTTTACGGACACAAATGTCTGTTCCTATTTCATCTTTCGCTGCTGCTTCAATGTCTTCATTTATTCCGGTCCAGTATCCATTTTTTTATTCATTTTATTTTCTTTACTGGTGTTTAACATTCTAGCCCTCAATATTGAGATCACTAGGCAATGATCTGAGACTATGTACGAATTCAATTGAATTTCCACCGATTCCTTAAATTCATAAAATATAGGTAGTAAGTTTACTTGCTTGTCAGCAATCAATCATTCATGTTTTATTTATTAGTATCTTATTATGACCATCAAGAGTAAAACATTGATTAGCCATCGATAGACACGTCTCATATTATTAACTGCTGAAAATAATTTTTTTAAATAAAACAAATTATTCATCGAATTTTAATATCCTAAAATCAACAGTACCATATCCATTAATCAACAAAAGAGAAGATTTTGATGATCGTTTTCGAAGAACCTTATACCTTGTAATGTATAAAATTTACCTAACCCATTAACATTTGTTATTTAATGGTGTAAAATAAAATAAATATGGATATGAGAACACAAAGTATTTTCTCATTGAAATATATAGCATGCACGAAATTTATTAAGGTGTATAGTTAGTTATGGTTATACTTTTTAAATTAAATATCTATCTTAAACCAATACTGCTATCATGCATGAAAATTGAAAACTTAAGACATGATTTTACCATTCACCCAAATAATTAATGATTATAGATCATATTCACAGATCAAATTCATATTTTACTCTTTTTATTATACAAAAATACAAATCTAACATATAAAAACGAAATACTGTGTTGTTTACAAATCTCAAATTAGTTAAACTTTAAGGTAGGTATATTTTTATGCTTACAGGTACATACTCGAAATATTTAGTGGGTATTTGTCATCATCTCCACTAGTTACACCGTTTTGTGTAATGGTTCTTAAAAACGATCAACTGATGGTGTATATTTTTCATTGGACAATTCTGTATTGACTTGTCTAAAAAATAATTATCCAATTGAGTAATATTTTAAAAATAATAATATACATTTCATGTAAATTAAGCTTACAAGATAGAAGAAGTATAAAAAATATTGAGACTGAGTAGGTTGAAAGAATTAGTAGTAAAATATCTGTAGCCACCGGCATATGAATAATATTTTATATGGTTATTTGTGGTTTGCTTTAAAATACAACTGTTATTTTACATTTTTGTTGTTTGTAGAAGTATCTAACAAAATACCTTAATTAAAATAAGTAGAGAAAATAGTAGTAGAGAAAAAGTTTAGATATAATTTCGTAATAGGTATAATCATTTTTACTGTTAAAACTTGTATGTGTGTAAACACACACACACACACATACAAGTTGAAGACATAAGAGTACTAAGAGGACCGGAGTGCGGAACTGACCACTATATGGTAAGATCAAAATGTTACCTACAGTATCGACCTGCTACTACATCAAAATGACAACCAACTAGCTCAATCAAAACCCCTATAATCGAATCTACCTAAATACAATATTGATGCACTGCAAAACGACTCGACATCATTCTTATATAAGCTGCGACTTAGCCAAAAATTGGCAAACCTGATCTACTCCTCAGCCCAGAATACCTATAAAGAGATAATCAATAAAATCAATGAAGCAGCTTAAGAAGCGCTCGGCACAATCCAAAAGAACAAAAAGAATACTCCATTGTGGTGGACAAATGACATCGCCAATGCAGTACACAACAAGAAACA